GCATGATATTCTTGATTTGAACAAGAGATTGTGAATTGAGTATTTCATTGTTGAATGTGGTTTGATTATGTATCGAGTAATGTTAAGTGCATGAGAAATCTAAGATTAGTATTGCCCGTTGTCTTCCTACCACATGATATTGATAAGACATATAGTCTTTGCATATCCCGTTTGTCTCTGTGATTCCTTGTTGCTTAGTTACCAATGGTTAGGCAGATTTCCGTCTCCCTAGTGTCTTAGTTTATTGATTATTTCATCTTATTAGTAGTATTTTAGAACACCATCTTCCATTGATTTCGAACTAGCTTAGGTTTTAGGATTGATTAGCAGTTACTCCCGTTCTTCGTGGACCGAACCTTTATTTGCCATTATACTGGTTATAGGGTGTTCGTATAAGTATTGTTTGATTAAGAGTTAGATTGTAGCGACCGATTTAACGATTGTCAAAATGGCGCCGTTGCCGGGGAACAATGTTTGTTAATTGCGTTTTGATTTCTTGAGTCTAGTTCATAAAAAAAATACAAAAATATTTTTTTTTTCTTTTGGCTACACTTGTAGCCCTGCTATTTGACTGGTTTGTTTAGTGTGTATGCGCAGGTCTAAACAAGGAGAGTTAATACTCTTCGATCCCGAAATCGAAAGGACTTTGAAGAGCAATCGTAAATCTCGATCGAAGTCATCAAACTCTCAAGGAAAGGAACACAACACACAACAGGTTCCAATGACAGACATTCCGCGCCAACCTAATCGGCCAGCACCATGACCCCTTAAGGAGTTGGGAACTCCTGGGGAGTTTAAAGCTTCAAGTGGGATTGCTCCACCCACTACTGAGGCCAATGACTTCGAGATCCGGCCGACCATGATCACCCTCATCGAGCGAAGGCAGTTTAGTGGTGCCAAGCATGAGAGCCTTTTGGCTCATCTGAATGAATTTGAGAAGTACTGCAACACTATCAAAGTTAATGGGGTGAACCAAGAGTTTGTGAGATTAAAGCTTTTCCCATTTTCACTCATCGGGAGAGCCCTCAAATGGTTAGAGAAGGAGGTGAAACCAAACACTCTACACACTTGGGATGATGTCACGACAGCATTTTTGGGAAGATTCTATTCTCAAAAGAAGACGGCCGATGCTAGAGCTTTGATCCAAGGATTTCGGCAAAGGAGTGGGGAGTCAATCTACAAAGCATGGGAAAGGTACAAGGAGTACCAAAGAGAGTGCCCGCATCACGGAATTGCAACATACCAAGTACTATAGATATCTTATTAGTAGTACCAGTTTGGATGCGGGAGCAGGTGGCCCCATTATGAACAAAACCGAAGAAGAATTCATTGATATCATAGAAGATGTGGTACAACACCACATGGATTGGCAAGATGGAGAGTGGGAAGCTACGATCGAGAGTGGAGGAGCGGTCTATTCGGTAGATCACCTCAATGTAATTGGAAATTTGACATCACAAATTGCGAATCTAGGAAAGGAGATGTCTATTATCAAAGAAAAACTCGATGCCCCACCGCATCAAAATTTTCCATCCCATTCTAAGGGAGCAGGTACGAATTTCAACTCCTATAATATGCCTACTGGATGTACTTTTTGTGAAAACTGTGGATCCTATGATCATGATACCTCTACCTGTAACTTAGATTCCCAATTTCAATCTAATTGTAATGATGGTAATGATTGTGATAATGAACAAGTCAATGCCTTGTCTTATGATAATAGACCTAGGAATGACAATAAGAGATATTTACCACCAAATCAAAGAGGGAATAATTATAATCAACAAGGTAATAATTTTGATAACCAACAGCAAAACCAGTGGCGAAACAGGAACCAAAAGGACCAAAATCCCCAAGGATCCTATAATCAAAATGGTAAGTTTGGTAATCAAAATCAATACCAAAAAAATGCAGGTAATCAGGGTAATCAAGGGCAATACAATCAAAACATGAATGCCAATAACAGGGGAAACTGGAATAACAATGGTAACAGGAACTTCCAAAATCAAAATCCCCAACAATCTAATGTGTGTGGTTCCCGAGCTCCTAATGACAATTACTATGCTCAAGGACCACCGCAGAGGGCTAGTTTGGAGGAGATGATGGAAGCACAGTCTAAAATGCTCAACACTTTCATGGCCACCAGTGATAAAAAGTTTAGTGAAGTGATGACACATAATAAGATGCTTGAAACCCAAATTTCTAAGTTGGCTAGTGCTATAAAAGATGGGGTTGGAGTTTCAAAACTCTCGCCTCAAGGTATTGACCCTAAAAATTTTGTGAATGCTATCACGACTAGGAGTGGAAAGACTTTGATAGGGAGCGATAATGTAATACCTCCAAAGAGTCAACCTGCGACTCCACCTATCACTGGGTGAGGATGAGAGGACCAGAGAGAATGATAAAACTATTGAGGTCCCAAAAGAAAAGGAAGGTACACAAGTTAAAGAACCTAATCTATTGCAAAAACTTCCTTACCCCCATAAGTTCGTGAGACACAAGCTAGATGTCCAATTTGGTAAGTTTTTGGAGACATTGAAACAAATTCACCTTTCCATACCATTCACCGATGCTATAAAGCAAATGCCTAACTATGCTAGGTTTTTGAAAGATATTTTGAGTGGTAGGAGGAATTGTGATGGGGTGGAAACTGTTAACCTCACTGCGAATTGTAGTGCAATCATTATGAAAAAAATGCCTCCTAAATTAGGAGATCCAAGTAATTTCTCAATCCCTTGTGCTTTTAATAAAATTAAAATTGATAATGCATTATGTGATCTTGGGGCTAGAGTTAGTCTTATTCCATATTTTGTATATCAACGTTTAGGGGTAGGAGACCTACTTCCTACCAACATTACCCTGAAGTTAGCTGATTGTTCGATCAAATTTCCTAAGGGTAAGGTGGAGGATGTTCCCATACGGGTTGGGAAATTTGTGATACTTGTTGATTTTGTTGTTTTGGAAATGGATGAGGATAATCATATACCCATTATTCTGGGACGACCTTTCCTAGCTACCTTAGGTGCTCTCATTGATGTGAAGAGTGCTAAGATTTCTTTAAAGGTAGGAGAGGAGGTCCTTGATTTTGATTTGAATATAAGCAAATATCCATGCTCTAGTTCCGAAAACTGCATGATGATTGACACTATTGATTCGATTGTTTCTAGTATGCATACACAATTGCTCTCCTCTAACCATGATCTTGAGCCAAGTGATACCGAGGAGGACAGGGACGTGGAAGAGCAATTTCTTGACGGAGATGAAGGAGAACACAAGCACATGGAGATCACAACCAAGTATGCTCTTGCTATAGCCGCTGCAAAAGAGGTAAATGAGGCCCCTAAGGTAAAATTAAAACCTCTACCAACACATCTATGGTATGAATTTCTTGGTCCTAATTCAACTTACCTTGTCTTCGTGAATTCTTCTTTAGATGTAGATCAAACTCGGAAGTTATGTGATGTATTGAGAGAGCATCAAAGTTCCATAGGCTATACCATTGATAACCTCAAAGGTATTAGCCCTGCTATCTGTATGCATCACATAACTCTCGAGGATGGTGCGAGGCCTTCCATAGAGAGGCAGAGGAAACTCAATCCTCAAATGGGGGAGGTGGTGAAGAAAGAAATCACCAAACTCCTTGATGCAGGTATCATCTTCCCCATTTCGAGTTCTAGATGGGTTTCCCCTGTGCATATTGTACTTAAGAAGGGGGGAATGACTGTGTTTGAGAATGAGAATGGTGAGCTCATCTCAACTAGAACGGTAACCGGTTGGAGGTTGTGCATAGACTATAGACGTCTAAACGCATCTACAAAAAAGGACCATTTTCCCCTACCATTTATTGATCAAATGCTCGAAAGACTAACTAGGACATTTTGGAAGCCGAGATGGAGGTTTTCATGGATGATTTTTCAGTTGGAGGCACGTCTTTTGATGATTGCTTGGTGAACTTGGGAAAGTGCTTGCAACGATGTGAGAAGGTGAACTTGGTCCTCATCTGGGAGAAATGTCACTTCATGGTAGAGGAAGGTATTGTCCTTGGTCACAAGATCTCAAATGCCGGGATAGAGGTGGATAAGGCAAAGGTCGAAGTCATCGCGAAACTACCACCACCGGTCAATGCAAAAGGGGTAAGACAATTTCTAGGGCATGCAGGTTTCTATAGGCGGTTTATAAAGGACTTCTCTCTCATAGCAAAGCCTTTAAATGCCCTAATGCAAAAGGAAGTTGATTTCAAGTTTGATGAAGAGTGCTTACATGCTTTTAACACACTCAAGAAAGCTTTGATCTCGGCTCCGATAGTGCAAGGACCAAGATGGGACCTACCATTTGAGTTGATGTGCGATGCAAGTGATACGGCTATCGGGGGTGTTCTTGGGAAACGAGTTGAGAACAGGCTTCACGTAATCTACTATATGTCAAAGACCTCGAATGAAGAACAAAGGAATTACACCAGCACGGAGAAAGAGTTCCTAGCCATCGTTCATGCTTTTGAAAAGTTTTGGGACTACCTCATTGGTTCGAAGACAATTGTTTACACCAACCATGCCGCTATCAAGTACCTAATTTCGAAAAAGGAGTCCAAACCACGTCTCCTCCAATGGGTCCTTTCTTTGCAACAGTTTCATGTGGAGATACGGGACAAGAAGGGGGCCAAGAATGTGGTTGCGGATCACCTTTCACGCATGGAAAGGGAACAACAAGATGATGATGGGGTGCCCATTTGTGATGAATTGAAGGATGATGTCTTGTACCTCATTAAGGAGAAGGGACTACCTTGGTTTGCGGATTTGGTAAAATACTTAGCTTGTGGGGAGCTTCCTCCCGAGTACACCAAGAACCAAAGGAAGAAGCTTAAGATAGATGCTAGACACTACATTTAGGATGATCCGATCTTGTTCAAAAGAGGTGTGGACGGTCTACTAAGAAGGTGTGTTCCGGATGATGAAACTTAAAGTGTGCTGAAAATGTGCCATTCCGACCCTTGCGGAGGTCACATGGGAGCTAACAAGACGGCTCAAAAGGTTTTGCAATGTGGACTATGGTGGCCTCACATCTTTAGAGACTCGTGGGCATTTGTGAAGACATGTGATGCGTTCCAAAGAAGTGGAAACGTGTCTAAGAAGAATGAAATGCCCCAACAACCCATACTTGAGCTTGAAATCTTTGATGTTTGGGGCATAGAATTCATGGGACCTTTCCCTTCCTCCCGTGGGAACCAATACATACTTGTGGCAGTAAATTATGTGTTGAAGTTGGTGGAAGCAATCGCCTCCCCAACAAATGACCACAAGGTGGTGGTGAAGCTCTTCAAGAAGATAATATTTCCAAGATTCGGGGTTCCTAGAGCGGTTATAAGTGACAACGGGACACACTTTGTGCATGGGGCTTTTCAAAGAATGCTTCGCAAGAATGGAGTCCATCAAAGGTTTGGGACAACCTATCACCCTCAAACTAGTGGGCAGGCGGAAGTCTCCAACCAACAGATTAAGTCTATTCTTGAGAAGACGGTTGCGGGAATAGGAAAGATTGGTCCGACAAGCTCGATGATGCACTTTGGGCATACCGGACAACTTTCAAGACCCCTATTAGCACTACCCCATACCGTTTGGTCTACGGGAAAGCATGTCACCTCCCGGTCAAATTAGAGCACCGGGCTCATTGGGCAATCAAGAAGATAAACTTTGATCTAGCAAGCGCGGGGGAGCAACGGATTTTGGAGCTTCATGAGTTGGAGGAGCTTCGAATGGATGCATATGATAGTGCAAGCCTCTACAAATCGCGATCCAAGGAGTGGCATGACCGAAAAATAGAGCGAAAGGTGTTCAATGTTGGGGATAAGGTCCTCTTGTACAATTCTAGGATGAAACTCTTCCTCGGTAAGTTGGTGTCAAGATGGAGGGGACCATTCACCGTCAAGGCGGTTCTACTTTCCGGGGCGGTCGAACTCTATGATTCGAGTGGATTGCAGTCTTTTAAGGTAAATGGGCAACGATTGAAGATATACTATGAAGGAGCCCATTTTGGTGTGATTGATGTATTCAAATGCAGTCACAAGTGTTAAATGTGACCACGTCAAGCTATCGACGTTAAACTTAGTGCTTCCGGGAGGCAACCCGACTTTCTTGCTTTTTCTTAGAGTAGTTTCATTTGTTTTCCTTTTTGTTTGTTTAGCTCCTAATTTGTTTCCTTTTCATGTGTTATGTGTGTGTCTTTGTGTAGGTAAAGGGCTAGTTGGAAGTCGGGAAAACGAGAGTGATGCCTGTTTTTTTAAGAAAAAGGACTGCAGGCTGTAGCAGGCAGCACGGCCGTGCCATTTTCAACACGACAGTGCCATCAGAAGGTTTCCTCAGCAGAAATTCAGCATGACCGTGCTAAATTTGGCACGGCCGTGCCAAAACTCAAAAAACCTACTGACATGCCAACACGGCTGTGCTATATTTGGCACGTCTGGCAAAAAAGTTGCGTCAAAAAGTTAAATGCCAAGCCCAGCAGCACAGCCGTGCCAAAAATATAGCACGGCCGTGCCATCTGTCGAGCAATTTGTAAAAAGCAATCTGCCATGCCAACACGGCCGTGCCAAATATAGCACGGCCGTGCAGCACGGGTTTTATTCCGGATTCACGCATCTTTAAATCAATTTTTCCCAATCTTCCCCTTATTTCCCCAATCTCCTTATATCATCCTTCACACTTTCATACCCCTTTCTCTCTCTAAGAAAACCCTAACCCCAAAATTCTCCCCAAAATCCTCACAACAAACCCTAATTCCCCAAATTCTCTTCACGAATTCGACATCCAACGTACATTGAAGCATTCCTCAGGCTAGTGGAAGTGATTTTCGATCCCTCTACAATTCGGCACACCACAATTTCGTGGTGTATTGGGTGATTTCGTTCTTTACTCTCTTCTTTTGCCATTTTTGTCAAATTCCACTTGTTATTGTTGATATTTTGCTATTGATTTGTGCTTATTTGTTACTTACTTGTGTGAATTAGTGATTGTGTGTTTAAGTACATTGCATGTTAGGTTTGATTGTTTAGAGTACTCCTTGATTGAATCATTGTGTGTTCTTACATTGTTTGGTTTAGGTGTAGTTTCTTTGCTATTTAGTAATTTGTGCTTAATCTAATCCACACACCATGCGAAGAACCAAAACATCTAGAGAAGGTCGGGTCGGGATGAAGGGCCCTCAACCGTGGCTCCACCACCGGTGGACACCATGGGTATTGTTTTAGGAAATCCGTCCTTCATGGACAAATTTTTAAGCCTGTCCCTTCGACCGATCCGGCCTACAAAGTTCTACGACCCTTTGGCCGCTAGGGCTTTAGGGATTGAGAACGACATGGTTCAACTTTTTTCGTACACTAATTTTGATTCCTTTTTTACCATGCATGCTCATATCTATAAGAGGCTTACCCTCGAGTTTCTAGCTTCTTTGTATGTACACCGGGATGAGAATAACTCACCCCGGTACTTGCCCTTCCAGCTTAATGAACTCAGGCACCATCCAAATGTCCGTGGCTCAGGTAAATGCTGCTTTTGGATGGTAATCCGACCTGAAATATGGTCCTAAGGATGGCCACTCCAAACATTATAAGTTCGGACTGTTTTGGCGTCAGATAACGGGGAAGGTGGATAGAGATCCCCGTAGGGATAAGGCGACCTCCATTGTCAACCCCACCTTAAGAATGTCCCATAGGACCTTTTCCTCTACTATCTTCGCTAGGGGAGATAGCTCGGGGGTAGTCTCCATTAGGGAGCTACAAATCTTGTGGCATCACACCCGGTGGGACGGGCGGCTAGACATAGGGGCGTGGTTAGTAGACCACCTAGACGGTGTAGCCCGGGGGAGGGGCGACATTACTATTGGTGCCATGATCACCATCCTTGCCCAATTTAATGGCATTGATTTTCCTAACTTGCAGGCTGTTCCAGGGACGACGAGGCTAGATATGCGCACCCTAAAAGCCATGCAATGGCTCGATGGGACTACCATGTTAGATTGCTACTTATGGCTCGTTGCAGGGAAGCCTTATGCCTACCTCCCCGATCTAGAGAGGACGGTCGTATATAACATGGAAAACTGGATCTTCGACCCCGACTTCATCTGACACGAGGACGGGAACACGGAGTATATCAACCGTAGTCCACAGGCTCACCCTGAAGATAAGCAAGCCCATGGGGGCCAAGGTGGTGATGATGCTGACGATGATGATGATGAGGAGGAGGGCGGCCCAGATGAGGCCTAGCAAATCCCGGCGCAAGACTACGCCTCGCTCTTCTAGGGACTTGATGATTTGAGGAGCGAGGTAGTGGGTTTACGTTTTACAAACTCGGATATGGCCTCTGCCTTCAGAGATCTGAAGAGGAGTGTTGACGACATGGCCTCCCGCTTTCCTCCTTGCCCGGGCGGCCCTAGCTCGTGATCCCCTTTCCTTTTCCCTTAGTTGCCCCTTTCCCAATTTTTTTTAAGTCCTTAATGTGTAAACATTGAGGACAATGTTTGATTCTAGCTTGGGAGGGGGTGGTCTTACTTATGTTTATTGATAAGGGGTAGTTTAGTCTTTAATTGCTTTCTTTTCCTTGTAAAAAAAATAAATAAATAAAAAATAAAAAATAAAAAAATAAAAAATAAAAAATAAAAATAAAAAAAAATAGAAAAGAAAAAAAAATACAAAAAGATTTACTGCTTTCTTAGGACTAACCTTAACTTGTTTGCTAGTATGTCTTTTCTTTTTTCAGCTTGGGATCGTTCGAGAAGCGGCACGAGTACGAAGAACCAATTTATGGCCGCTAATTGGAGCTCCCGGGAAGCAAATTTGGTGAGATCTTTCCCTTTTCTCTTTGTGTGCTTAGGATAGCTTAGTTTAGGAAGAAGTTGAATGGTTCGAGGATGTTTGATCGGTTCTAAGGAACCTGGGATCATTGATGTTGATATCAATTGATCACTTGGTTGTCGATTGGGATTATTATGTGATTTTTATGCCTCTTTATGTGCCATTTAACTTGCTTAGATTACTTAGTTGTATATATGTGTTTGATAGGTAGGAAAAGCTTCTGTTATGAGGATGTGTAGTTTAGCTTATATGAGTTGCCTCATAGTCTTTTCCTATATTTTTGGATCATGATAAACTTGTCTAATTGCATAAAGTTTTGGAATAATGCTCACATTTGGATTCGAAACGTGAATGAATGTGTGTGGAATGCCTATCTCTACTTAAGCCAGTGACGAATACACAGTTTGAGTCTATTGTTGATCAATGTAGACGAGTCTAGGCGAAGGGTAGTTGGATAGAACGTTGTTGTCGTGTGAAACTCTAAGCCATTGAATTGTGGTAAGATGGAGTTGTTTCCCATTTGTGGATTTGATCCCCTTAATTGGTAGTTGCTTTGTTTTTGAATCCCGTGAGGTTTTATTTGTTCTAGCCTTCTTCATTCTTTTTGAATGGCATATTTGGATCCTTGATTACGCATGTTTCGATCTTTGTGTTGACTTGTAGCTCCCGAGACCGACTTGACACTTTTAAGGGAGGAAGAGGGCACCTTTTTCATTTTCTTATTTTTGTTTCTTTTGTTTTGTTAGAAATTAATTTTCTTTTTACACATCTTACTTGCTAACCATGTTGAGCCTTTAATTCCATTCTTGGTTACCCATGTTACAAACCCGATGGTCGATGTTTTACCAACCCTTAGTTGTGAAGCGTTTACCTCGCAAGGTTTGTTTGAGCTTATTGTGTATAAATCAAGAATAATGATCGAAAATTGGTTTGAGCAAGTTTGAAAGTGAGCTTAATTGTAAAGATGTAATATGAAAGTTTGTTATTCAAAAAAAAAAAAAAAATCAAAATAAAAAAAAGGGAGAAAATCCGTCCGATTTGTGAAAAAGGCAAGGACATATAAATAAAAGCTTTGAAGTTTGAAAAAGGTGATTTTAGTGTGTATAACATAGAGAGTTTGGGATGTGTAAGAGTGTGATCAATGTTTATCGTGGAATGTGAATTGCATCTCTTGAGCTTTGTTTTTGAGAATCGTGATTCTTGCGCTTCATTTAGGATTTAACTCCACATTTTAAATTGTCTTCACCTACCTTACCCATTGCCAATACATTACAACCTTTTAAGACCCTTAGACTTTAGAGGTGTTCGGTTTTCAAACGGTGGAGGGATATACCTTTCAACCCTATGGAAATATTATGCGTAATTGAGATGTTGGTATACCTTTGTTATTTCCTCAAAATATCACTTTTTCCGGTTCCTTCGAGGAATCACGAGGGGCCAATTAGGGTGGTGATTTGAAGCAAAAGGGGAGAATGTGGTTGTTTTGGTTGGGCTTAGAGGGAAGCATGATTCCTTTGTTCTCTATGCTTGGCTTAAGTCTTGTTCACATTTTGATCAACGATACCTTGGATTGTGTGTCTCATTGCTTGTTTGAGTGAGTTTTTATTCCATGCATGGTTGTTCTAAGTAGGATCCGTGGACTTTATTCTGTGCTTAAACTTGACTTATATGTAATGGCAATAGTTTAATTGATCTTGTGTGTGTATTGATCCCTTAGTTTTGCTCGAGGACTAGCAAAAGGGTAGCTTGGGGGGTTTTGATAAGCGCATTTTAGGGTGCGCTTTAGAGCATATTATAGGACAATTTTGGATGTATTTAGGACCGTTTTGGTCGTTTATTGCCTTATTATGCTTATATCCCTTGTATTACGTGCCTCACAAGTTTCGGGTTGTTTTTGATGTGTTTTTAGGTATAATTAACCGAGTTTAGTCGGGTCCCGAGCCATTGGTACGTGATCAAGCCAACCTTGGTCGTATACGAGGAACTAAGGGGTTTTTCAAGAGTTTACAAAAGATGCACAAGTAGCACGGCCGTGCCACACTTGGCATGCCCGTGCTAGGCAGCCCCACCAACTCTGACCAGGCAACACAACTGCAGAGATGAAGCACGGTCGTGCCAAGTCAGCACACTGCCCGTCTCAGCCAATTTCCATGCCCGTGCCAGATTCAGCACGGCCGTGCCAAAATTGAAGATATTGCGGATCAGCTACTGCCATGTTTGCACGG